ACCCCCTCAAAACTGCTGTCATCACCCCCCTCCTGAAAAAACCCTCCCTAGATCCCTCAAACCCCGGCCACTACCGCCCTATTTGTAACCTGCCGTTCCTCTCAAAAGCTCTAGAACGTGTTGTTGCCAATCAACTCCGCGCACACCTCTCCTCCCACTCCCTCTTCGAACCCCTCCAGTCCGGTTTCCGCCCACAGTACAGGGACTGCGCTTGTGAAAGTCACAAACGACATCCTCTTTATCTGTGACCAGGGCTCCCTCTGCCTCCTTGTCCTCCTGGACCTCTCCGCGGTGTTCGACACAGTCGATCACGCCATCCTCCTCCCCCGCCTCTCCTCCGTCATCCACCTCAGGGGGACCGCACTCGCCCGGTTCGAGTCCTACCTCACAAACCGCCAGCAGTACATCTGCACCAACGGCTTCTCCTCCCGCTCTCACCTGGTTACCCGCGGGTACCCCAAGGATCCATCCTTGGCCCCCTCCTCTTTCTGATCTACACGCTCCCTCTTGGGGATGTCATCCGCAGACATGGGGTACACTTCCACATGTACGCGGACGACACCCACCTCTATTTTTCCACCGCTCTTTGCGCCCCCCCCGTCCCCTGATGTTCTGCCTATCAGATCTCAGGGACTGGATGAGCGCAAATTTCCTTCAGCTGAACGTTGACAAGATGGTTTGTATCCTGGTCTGTGCAGAGTTTGCTGGCCTCAGCCAGGACTGTGTGGGGTCAGGATATATTAGCCCCAGGGTCAGGATATATTAGCCCCAGGGTCAGGACCGGGAAAGCCACCCAGCTTCTCAAGTCCACATTCGCCTATAAATCCATATTACACTCCATTTCATAGTAACTCCTGTGAAAAAAAATATAATAAATATAAATAACAAATATATAATAATATATAAAATGTGAAATAGTAACTCCTGTGGAAGCAGTTTGAGACATCCTCCTGACGCAAAAGGCCTTGTACCAAATGCAGAGATTATCATGTTGTTATGATGATGATGATGATGGTGGTGGTGGTACCAGGGATGAGTGACCTCAGTTACGTGGAGAGAACCAGAGATGTTGGGATTGTTCTCCTTAGAGCAGAGAAGGTTAAGAGCAGATTTAATAGAGCTGCTCAAAATTATGAGGGGTTTGGAGAGTAGATCGGGGAGAAACTGTGTCCACTGGAGGGTGGGTCAGTAACCAGGTTTAGGATAACTGGACAAAGAACCAGAGGGGAGATGAGGAGACATTTTTTTCCCAGGAGAGTGGTTACAGTCTGGATCCCACGGCCCGACAGGGGGTGGAAACCGATTCAACAACAACTTTCAAAAGGGATTTGGATAAGGACTCGAAGAGGAAGCATTTGCAAGGATGTGGAGAGAGAGTGGGGTGGGGGGAGTGTGGGGCTGATCGGGTGGCTCTTCCGAAGGCACGATGGGCCGAATGGCCTCCTTCTGCGCCGAAATATTCTGTGATCCTACAGTGACGATGGTTAATTTCGGACCAGCGAGACACCGTCACAGCATATTTGCATCAGGACCCAATCACGGAAATAACAGCCTTCATGATTCAAGTGTTTTTAAAAAGAACATTGACCTGTGAGTGGTTTTCGGCCGTGTCTTACATTGTACTTTCTCGTACTTGATTGGAAATTGGTTAACCGGTTGAAACACTTACCAACCCCCGGTAAGAGACCTTAGGCGAGACAGGGTCTTGCCCAAGGTCTCGCCCTGACCCGCCCGGGAATCGAACCCGGGTCCTCTCGCTCGCGAGGCGAGAGCTCTAACCCCTGAGCTCCAGGACAGGGCCCCACTTATAATAAGTATATTATGCTACTTTGAAATGCTGTATATGCAAACACCCGCATTTGGTCCCACAACAAACAATTGGCTAAAGGCAATTTAGATGCAGTATAGACTGGTGGATAGGAATGAATGTTATCAAGTGAATTTAAAACAATTTCCAAAGGGACACTGTGATGAGACCTATTCAATTCCGACACACAGACAGACAAAGTGGGGAAATTACTAGAGATAACAATGGAATACTTTAATATGGTAACCAGATGTAACACAAGAGATCACAAGAGAGGATCACGATCACGACGCTAACAGTACAGACCAGCGTTAAGAATTTGCCTGCTCCTAAACCGCACGCAATCTGCCTTCACCGTGATAGTAATAACAATAAGCGTAATAAAGCCTGTGAAGTGCAGGGTCTGTGTATCTTAACAAATGTAGTAGTAGTCGGAGACCACAGGATTTTTTGCTCAAAAGCCCGTGAACCAGGTGCAAATTCAGAGCGGCTGCGGTACCGCGAGTGGCCAGAGCGGGGCACTGCAGCACGCGTTTGAGGTGCCCTCACTCACACCAACATAGGAACATAATAATAATAATAATAATAATAATAATAATAATTAACCCTCGCCTTGGACACGGCGCCCGATCACGTCTTCGAGACGCCTCAAAGCGCTTCGCGGGATACGCCGTCAAGTGTAGTGACTGTGTATTTTTTGTGGGGTTTGCCACTGGGCGCCTTATTGAGAGAGAGATAGAGAGAGAGATAGAGAGAGAGATAGAGAGAGAGCGCGAGAGAGAGAGAGAGAGAGAGAGAGAGAGAGAACTTGCTGTCGAGCTGCCAAACACTTCCAGCTCTGGTTTGCGTTCACTTCTGCTTTGCTGGAGTTTTCGATCCAAAGATCGGATGCTCTGCTGAACGCTCTGATCGCATTGGGAATGCGGACTGCATCTCTCTCTCTCTCTCTCTCTCTCTTTCTATCCCTCTCTCTCTCTCTCCATCTCCATCTCCCCCATCTCCCTGGCACCTTGGCTTTGGGGCAGGTTTGGTGAAACTCTGTGGGACGCGACCCCCACGTGACGGGCGCTATATGAATGCGAGTTGTTGTTGTTACTTCGCCCCTAAACTCTGGAAGTCTCTCCCTCAATCCCACCACCTTAACCCCCCCCCCCCACTCTCCCCCCCCCCCCCCCCCCGGCTCGGTGTCGGACACCCCACCAAGTTTGTTGTGAACAGGGATGTGTCTCTTCTCTCTCTCTCCATCTCCTTTCCCCCCCAGGAGTGGATGATGGAAGGGGGAATTGAAGGTGGTGATGACCGTTGCGTGCGTCCGTGTGCGGTTGCAGAGAGAGAAAGAGAGAGCGAGAGAGAGAGAGCGCCGAGGGGAGGAGGAGAGAGAGAAGGAGAAAGAGAAAGCGGGAGGAGAGCGAGCGAGGGAGATGGAGAAGAAAGAAGCGGGGAGGCGGCGGGCGGGCGGGCGGGTGGGGGGGAGAGAAAGAAGATTCTCATCAGGATAAGGAACACTATTGTTTTCTGTGCATTTGCCCCGGTCTGGTCAGTTCTGGCTACTTCCTTGGTCTCATGGGGGGGGGGGGGTGTGGGGGGGGGTGTGAGGAGAAGGGTTTAGTTGCTATGGAACAAGCCATTGGCTCTGTTTCTTTTTTTTCCACAAAAATGTATAAAACAAAACAAAAATAACAACAGAAATCCCTTTGAAATCGTTTTTTTTTTTGGGGGGGGGGGTTCCTTTTGTTTTTTTTGGAACTAAAGCAAAAAAAGAGAATCAAGTGATGATGCTGTCAATTTGGTACCTCTGATCGCATCCATCCTCCCTCCCTCCCTCTCTCTCTCCCTCCCTCCCTCTCTCTCTCTCCTCCCTTTTTCTCTCTCTTCCCTCCCCTTTTCTCTCTCTCTCTTTCTCTCTCCCCCCCTCCCCACCACCACAACCCCCCTCTCTCTCTCTCTCTCTTCCCCCCCCCCTCCCCAACCCTTCTCTCTCCATCTCTCTCTCTCTCCTCCCCTTTTCTCTCTCTCTCCTCCCCTCATCTCTCTCTCTCTCTCTCTCCCTCTCTGCCACACACACAGACACACAGTCACCACCTCCCATTCCCCCCTTCCCTCATCCACTCCTCTGGGGGAAGGGAGAGAGAGAGAGAGAGAGGCTGTGAGATGTGAGCAGGGCTGGAGGCTGCTCATCCTATTGCCAAAGGAGAGAGAGAGATAGAGAGAAGGAGAGAGAGAGAGAAAGAAAGGACTACGTGCTGTTGTCCATCCAACAAACCACAAGCCATTCAGGTCATTCATTCGTTGGTCGTGGATCTCAGAGGGAGAGAGAGAGAGAGGGAGTGAATGAGGGACTGAGTCAGAGGACTATTTCAGAACAAGTTGCTGTGAGAATTCAACCTCGAATCCCAACGCTGAGGCAGTAAACTCCAGGTCTGAGGTTGGACGCTCTCTGGACCTTCTGATCTCCTGACTGGACCTCCACAGAGAGAGAGAGAGAGAGACTCACACACTCACAGGGAGAGGGGTGAGGGGTTTGCATCCCTCCTCGGGGTCTCTCTCTCTCTCTCTCTCTATTTACTACGTTAAAAGAAAAAAGAACAACAGCCAAACAAACCCACAGCGAGAAGGAGAAACCATCGGAGGGATCGGTCGGAGTCATCTGAACTCGCAGTCTCCCGCCCCCGAGCAGGAGATAGGTGGTCATCCGGAGCAGAAGCTGAGCCATCTCCATCCTCCCCTCCTCTCCTCCTCCCCTCATCTCTCCCTCTCTCTCTCTCTCCCCTCCTTTCTCCCTCTCTCCATCTATCCCATCCTTCTCCTCCTCTCCTCTTCTCCCTCTCCCTCTCCCTCTCCTCTTCTCTCTCCATCTGTCTCTCCCTCCTCTTTCCCTCTCCCCATCTCCTCTATCCCTCTCCTCTCCTTCCTCTCCTCTTTCCCTCTCCCCATCTCCTCTCCTTCCTCTCCTCTTTCCCTCTCCCCATCTCCCCTAACAATCTCGTCCTCTTCTCCCTCTCCTCTTTCTCTCCCCCCCTCTCTCTCTCTCTCTTCCCTCTCCCCATCTCTCTCCTCTCCCTCCCTCTCTCCCCCCCTCTCCCCCTCCTCCCTCTCCCTCTCTCCCCATCTCCCCCCTCCCTCTCTCTCCCCCTCCCTCCCCCTCCCCTCTCCCCCTCTCTCCCTCTCTCCCTCTCTCTCTCCCTCTCCCCCTCTCCCTCTCTCCCCCTCTCTCCCTCTCCTCCCTCTCCCCATGGCTTCCCTGTATCAGAGACTGACCGGCAAGATAAACACCTCCCGGTCCTACCCCGCCCCAGCCGAGGCCAGTCACCTCCTGGGTGGTCAGTGTGTGGATGAGAATGGTACCAAGGACAAGACCCTCCATCCCCAGCAGCTCAGCACAGCCACAGCTCAGCCTGACCGCAGGAGCCACTGTGAGGACAGTGTAAGGTTCTTCACTGATCATCTCTCCCTCTCACCCCCAGAGACCGTGTGTGTGTGTGTAAGACATATGTGTGTGTGAGCCCTATATATGTGTGTGTATGTGTGTGTAAGACATATGTGTGTGTGAGCCCTATATATATGTGTGTGTGTGTGTGTAAGACATATGTGTGTGTGAGCCCTATATATATATGTGTGTGTAAGACACATGTGTGTGAGCCATATATATGTGTGTGTGTGTGTAAGACATATGTTTGTGTGAGACATATATATGTGTGTGTGTGTAAGACATATGTGTGTGTGAGCCATATATATATGTGTGTGCGTGTGTCAAATGTGTGTGTGTGTGAGCCATATGTGTGTTTGTGCGTGAGCCACGTGTGTGTGTGTGTGTGAGAGCCATATGTGTGTGAGCCATATATATGTGTGTGTCATATGTGTGTGTGAGGCATATATGTGTGTGTGTAAGCCATGTGTGTGTGAGAGTCGCGTGTGCAAGCCATATGTGCACGTAAGCCATACATCTGTGTATGAGAGCCATGTTTGTGTCTGCCCAAGCCATGTGTGTTTGTGTTTGTGTGAGCCATATATGTGTGTGTGTGTAAGCCATACGTGTGTGTGAGCCATGTGTGTGTGTAAGCCATATATGTGTGTGTGTGTGTGTGTGTGAGAGCCACGTGTGTGTGTGTGAGCCACGTGCGTGTGTGTGTAAGCCACGTTTGTATGTAAGACATATGTATATGTATGAGCCGTACATTTGTGTGAGAGCTGTATGTTTGTGTTTGTGAGCCATATATGTGTGTGTAAGCTAAGTGTGTGTGAGCCACGTGTGTGTGTGTGTTAGATGTATGTGTGTGAGCCATGTGTTGTGTGTGTGTGAGCCATGTGTGTGTATAAGACATATGTGTGTGAGCCATGTGTGTGTGTCTGTGAGCCATGTGTGTGTATGTAAGCCGTGTGTGTGTATGTGTGTAAGCCGTGTGTGTGTAAGCCATGTGAATGTGTGTAAGTCGTGTGTGTGTGTAATCCATATATGTGTGTGTAATCCATATGTGTGTGTGTCTAAGCCGGGTGTGTATAAAAGCCGTGTATGTGTGTGTGTAAGCCTGGGGAGTGTGTGTGAGCCATGTGTGTGTGTGTGTGTGAGCCATGTGTGTGTGTGTGAGCCATGTGTGTGTGTGTGTGTGTGTGAGCCATGTGTGTGTGTGAGCCATGTGTGTGTGTGAGCCATGTGTGTGTGTGTGTGAGCCATGTGTGTGTGTGTGAGCCATGTGTGTGTGTGAGCCATGTGTGTGTGTGTGAGCCGTGTGTGTGTGTGTGTGTGTGAGCCGTGTGTGTGTGTGTGTGAGCCGTGTGTGTGTGAGCCATGTGTGTGTGTGTGTGAGCCATGTGTGTGTGTGTGAGCCATGTGTGTGTGTGAGCCATGTGTGTGTGTGTGAGCCATGTGTGTGTGAGCCGTGTGTGTGTGTGTGTGTGTGAGCCGTGTGTGTGTGTGTGTGAGCCGTGTGTGTGTGAGCCATGTGTGTGTGTGTGTGAGCCATGTGTGTGTGTGTGTGTGTGAGCCGTGTGTGTGTGTGTGTGTGTGTGTGTGTGTGTGAGCCATGTGTGTGTGTGTGTGTGTGAGCCATGTGTGTGTGTGTGTGTGAGCCGTGTGTGTGTGTGTGTGTGTGAGAGACTGGGAACGTGTGGGCAGTTAAATAGACCTGATAATGAGATACACAGAACTTGTCTATTGCGCCTTCTCTCCCCCTCTCAGCAAAATTTACGAGGAGTTGAATAACAACCGCCACAGTGACAGTGACTCCCTCCCCCCGAGTGCCAGTGTGGTGTTGTGTGGGAAGCGTGTGCGTGCGTGTGCGTGCGCGAGAGAGAGAAAGAGAGAGAGAGAGAGAGAGAGATTGAAAGGGTTGTTGTATATGTTGGGTATGTTACTGGGTGAGGGAGGGAGGGAGGGAGGGAGGGAGGAGGTGATGATCTGTGTCAGGCCCGGGACAGGGCTATTTATGAGCCAAACCGCAAAAAAAGCAGCGGAAACCCACCATAAACCTGCGGCTGGAACCGACACGCGTGAACCTTGACGACCGAGGTCGAGGTGGCGAGATCGGGTCATTTTACCCGTGCGGACAGAGGGAGGGAGGGAGGGAGGGAGGGAGGAGAGAGAGAGAGACGGGGTGCGGTGGGGGGGAGATGGTATAATGTGCTTTTCTATCATAGCCATTCTCTCTCTCTCTCTCTCTCTCTCTCTCTGTCTCTTGCTATGTAAATGCAAGTTGTGGTTGTCGCTTTACATTGGCGGGCGGGTGTGGGGGTTAGGGGTGGGGGTAGGGGTGGGGGTTAGGGGTGAAAAGAACGGGGAGGGCTGGTGGGGGGGGGGGGGGGGGGGGCAAAGGAAATTGTTTTAAAAAGTTGTATTTGCATATTGCCTTAGCAATAGCAGTGTGTGAATCATTGATGAGCCGACCTCGGTGTCTGATTAGTGCCGGAGTTAAACCTTCACCATAACCGCTCTCTCTCTGGCCTCTGGCTCCCTCGCTCTCTCTCTCTCTCTCTGGCGCTCTCTCTCTCTCTCTCTGTGACTCTCTCTTCGCCTCTGTTGTCTGCAGTCTGTCAAACACACACACCACACACACACACACACACAATACCGTGACAGATGGCTTGTCAGTTGTGTTATTATTGCTGCTAATATTAGACAGGAACCGTTCCAATGAGGCCGGGCAGTGATGGTGATTATTTTTTCATTGTGTGTGTGTGTGCGTGCGCGTGCGCGTGTGCGCCTGTGCGCGTGTGTGTACGCAGTCGGGGGAAATCCAATCAAAAGTCCTACGAGAAGAATGCATTCCATCTCGATCCCCGACTGTTTGCTTGTGGGGACGTCGCTGGGCGGTCACTACGCTCTACGGTGTGGCCCGTGAAGCGCTTTGAGACGACTCGAAGGCGAGATCAGGCGCCGGGTCAAAGGCCGGGCTTGTTCTTATTAAAGCTCTGGGACGCTGCCCAGGGTGAGACGGGGGCGCAATATAAATGCACGTCGTTGTTGTTGGCGACAAAAAAATATTGCGGTGATGAAGTTGTGTGAGGAAATGCATTGCAGCGGTAAGAGCGTTACGTTGCGATAAGGCGCGATATCAAGTGCGAGGATTATTATTGCCGTTATTATTAACATTATTACATGGCTTTAGATCTGAGTAGACCTGCCGTAATAATAATAGTAATAATAATAAGAAGAAGAATAGTAATAATCCCGGCATTTGACACAGCCCCTCATCACGTCTTCGAGACGTCTCAAAGCGCTTGACGGGACCCGCTGCAAAGTGTAGTGACTGCGTGTTCCGCGGGCGAATCGCGGCAGCCGATCGCGCCCATCCCCCAGAAACAGCCGCGGGTTGAAGTGACCAAGTTGTTATGAGTAGTATTTTTTTGGAAGGGATTATTTGCGATTCTCTAAGCCGCTGCATTAGTGCATCGCTGACGTATAACTTCAGTGTCAACAGTTATCGGACAATGGGTCTCAACCGGTAGAAAGTTTCTGCACCTTCCAATTTAATTTGAAAGACTTCAGATGAGTTTTGCGTCAGTAATCAATGTACCAAACATACGCTGAAGCCTTTCATACAGCTCATAAGTGAGATTTATTGCAAACAGTGGAAATGGAATGATACTAATTTGTTGGGGGAAATGTAATAGTTGATGCAAAACGTTTAGAAACGTGCGGCACATTGTGAATAACTTCTTCGTCTGAAAGAAATGCTGGCGCGGAATAGTCATAAGTCGGAGAATTAACAACAATTTACACTTAACACAATACAGATTTGCCTTTGTATACTTAAGGGTATAAATCAGGCATTCAGCCTCTGCGCCCCCGAACTCTGGGACTCTTACCCCGCAATCCCTCCGCCTCACCCCCTCTCTATTGCCTCCTTCAAGTCCCGTCCAAACACCTTTCTCTTCGACCGTCCCACCCCCATATCCGCACCCCCCCCACCCGCCCTGCCCGCCGCCCTTCCGGACCCCCGGCTCCCAGCTCGAGGGCAAAGCCCTTGATCGTCCAGCGCCCTGGGATGTCTCGCTGACGTGAAGGGGGTGGGATTGTTGCTGTAGAATTGGTCACTCGCTTCGTGACTGTTTGGCGAGATTGTGGCTGTAACATCTGCCCACAAAACACTGCACTTTACAGAAGAATATCCTGTGAAGGGCTTTTGTTTGATGCAGTCCCTCTTCCCCCCCCCCACCCAATGTGAAAGGCACCGTTTCAAACGCAAGGATTTTTATTAGTATTATTAGTATTCATAATAATTATGATATCTTTTCCTCTTGGGTGTTTTGCACAGAGAGTACGTAGACTAGTTATTATTTGTTTCTTTTGCTTTGAGCGTGACAACTATTCTCTTGGTATAAGCCACTTGTACAGTTCATAAAATCATAGATTTATAGACCATATTATTACTATTTCTTTACAGTATTTATTATTATTTCTTTACAGTATTTATTAATACTTTACAGTATTTATTATTATTTCTTTACAGTGTTTATTATTAATACTTTACATTATTTACTATTAATACTTTACATTATTTATTATTATTATTATTACTTTGCAACGTATCCTGTGAAGCGCTTTGAGACGCCTCGAAGACGTGATGAGGCGCTGTGTCAATGTCAGGCTTGTTATTTTATTGGCTGCCTACAAAATACACAGTCCCTACCGTTTACAGTGTCTCCTGTGGAGCGCTTTGAGATATCCTCCTGACATGAAAAGACAGACCCGTCTGCATCAAAGGCAAAGATTATTGTGGTTACTTTTATTATGATGGCGAGACCTCGGATAACAAAATTTAGCCTTAAGTGCGGACCACACGGTAACTCATCGACTGACTCAGCTTCACAGACTAACAGATTCTCAGGAGGATGAGACAAGAATAAACATATATATATATATATCTATACACATTAAGGAAAAAAAGGAAAATATTTAAAATATGAAATGTAATAGTTTAACAGCAT